CAAACTTAACATTTTAAAGAAACTTATATTCAAGAGTGTATCACCAGACAATATTCTAAAATATACTCTTAGATGGAATTAGAATACCAGCATTCAGAATCCACATAATTAAGAAAATAATTGATAATATTATAAACAGTAAGAGTACATTTAAATAAAAATCAACTATGGGGTATGTGCTTGAAAATATTTTGTTTTGTATATGCATTAAATCACTGCACTCTCAAAACAATCCTGTGAGGCAGGTACTACCTCTGTGCAAAGGAAGGCAAAGAGGGACAATTTGTCTCACATAGGCCACATAGATGAAAAGGGGATAGGTCTGAATTCTGATTAGATGGTTTCCTTAACCACTATGCTCTGTCTTTTCCAATATATTAATTCATCATACACTTGTGGCTAACTTACATATAAAGTATAATTGAATTCCAATTTTCTCTCATTGAATATCATAGCATACAAGACTACACATGTCTCTTTATCTCCCAGAGCTGTAATATTAGCAAAATGGAACTTCAAATGTATACCTAGCATTATTTAGTATTCTCTTAACTTTCAGCTCCAAGTTTCCTTGCAACTAGGATTATGCACACACCCACAAAAAGTTAAGTTAGTAATGCATATGAAAGCATTTTAGAAAGTATAAGCACTAAACCAAAGTTAATTAGTTATTAATATTATTATAGATCTTTTACAATTCATGATATAAAATATAAAAATAATTTAGCCATCCATGCTACCCTTCAATATTTTTTCATATGTGTATATGACAGAAGAGGAAATATAAACCTACTCATGAAACCAACTAAAATAACCTAGCTAATAAAAAAAATGTATAGCAATATTCCCATACTTTATAAATAGAGTGAAAAAAATTGAAACTCAAAATTAGAAATATATATTACAAAAAATAAAAACACTTTGGCCAAACTGGATGATTCTCAAAAAATTCATATTGACATTAAAGATTTCTGATAATCAGAACACATATCTTATGCTTCACAAATTTATGCAAATGTCTTTGAGAAGAAGATTAACATTAAACAGGGGTGAGAGGTGGGAGGTAAAAGGAAAGAGAAGGGAAATTGCATGGAAATGGAAAGAGACCCTCATGGTTATACAAAATTACATACAAGAGGAAGTGAGGGGAAAGGGGAAAAAAAAAACAAGGGGGAGAAATGAATTACAGTAGATGGGGTAGAGAGAGAAGATTGGAGGGGAGGCGATGGGGGATAGTAGAGGATAGGAAAGGCAGCAGAATACAACAGACACTAGTATAGCAATATGTAAAACAGTGGATGTGTAACCGATGTGATGCTGCAATCCGTATACGGGGTAAAAATGGGAGTTCATAACCCACTTGAATCAAAGTGTGAAATATGATTTGTCAAGAACTATGTAATGTTTTGAACAACCAACAATAAAAATTAAAGAAAAATTTTAAAATGTGCTATTGTTTTTCCTTTGTTCACTTTTTCTGTATTATAGGAAAATAAAAACAAAATTCTTAACAGTTAATAACTTTTAAAATATAACGTGTTAATAACTTTTAAAAAATGTGGTTGTTTACTCATATTTTAAAATGTCTAAAATATGAGTAAACAATCACATTATTTCTCAGTCTTGAGGAATTATTAAAATTGCTCTTCTTAATTATTAATTTCTTACATGCCAATGTACACCTACTCTGCTTTTAACTACAACAGTAACTGAAAGTCATAAACTAATAATAAAAATATTACAAGATAATATTGCACACACAGACACATACACTATCCTTTTAAGAAAACAGACAGCTTTGTGATATGCTGGATAGAGTGCTAGCTTGTGTAGACACAAAACAGTGAATGTGACATATTTTCACTAAGGAGTCAATGTAACAAGGAAAACACATATATAAGAGTTTTTCAAAAGTAACTTTGTTAAACCAAATGAAAGACAAGTGGAGAGTGCTATAAAAACATGCAAAGGGAAACACCAGCCAAGTGTGAGGCTTTAGGAAAGGCCTAAAGAAATGAGGTCTGAAGACCAATGATTTTACCAAATGTGGGAGAGAGTGTTTGAAGGTTTGTGTGGGATGATTCCAGCTGTGTGTTTACACCAAAAGATACACGGTTCAGAGGAGAAGGAGGTTGGTGCATTCAATGATCTAAAAGATGATGTGCTTGGCTGGAGCTAAGGGATCAAGGTGGGGGACCCATGAGAGTCCTTTGATGTGAGGCTGACAGGTTGGCTAGAAGACACCACAGTTACTGAAGGCTTTTAAGTAGGACAATAACATGATCAGAGAAGGACGGATATATATATTTAAAATCATGAAGCTCATGGGGAGAAATATTATATTCATAAACAATATAAAGAATCAGACATTTTGTAACCATTAGGGAGATTACTGATTTCAAAGTTAGTAGAAGAATGTTCAATTTAGTTAAGATACTGAGAAGGAATCTTTGAAAAAGAGGTGTTAGAGCTAAAATTAGAAGCCACTTTTTTCAAAGACAAAGAAGGAATAAAACTACAAAAGAGCTCTCAGTCTTATACCAAAGAATAACCTCAAAATTATATTTGATACCAAAATGTCAATTTACCAATCTTAGAAATAAAAGATGTTATAATTATGTCTGTTTATTGTATTACTATCAAAAGTTCCACAAGAAGAGTTTCCAAAACATAAGAGACACTCAGTTTGTCCTAGCTGATTTTATACAGTTCAAGTGATAATATTAATATTCCAGTAAGTTTATGGGGTTCCCAGATTTGTCAATGCCCTAGCTCTCCGGAAAATGCTTCTACCCTTAGGAGAACACTGACCAAGAAACAACAAATACTTCAGATTATTAAATTTTATCAGACCTTTCTTATTTAAAGTTATTAATTTTAAATTAGATATGGCCATTAAATGTGTGTCAGGTACAGATGGCTTTGTTTTAATCTGATGCTTGCCTTGAGGCTCTGCTATGCACACAGCTCTGGATTCAAGTCTTCCTACAAAAAAGTCTCAGACAATGGACTATATTATGCATTTATAACTAGTGATACTCTAGACTATTAATGGAGGTAAATTGATGTTACAGCATTCCAAAGCAGCAGACTGAATTAGAACTTTTAGATTTTCAGATGTTGGCTTCAAGAATTAATGACACAGAACTAAATACATGAAAAGAGACATCTATTTTACTTTGTTCTCTGAAAAATTGTGTTGGGTGTGTGTGTGTGTGTGTGTGTGTGTGTGTGTGTGTATCTCCTTTCTATAAAACAATTTAATGGACCATGCTCTCATAAACAAAATATAAAACATTTTAAATCTCCCACAAACACCCTGTTCTCCAAATTTTACATGGTGACAAACTATTTGCATAGACAAACTTATTTGACAAACTTATTTGTTATGGTTTGGATATGAGGTATCTCCCAAAAGTTCACCTGTGACACAATGCAAGAAGGTTCAGAGGAGAAAAGATTGGGTTATAAGACTCTAAACCAATCAGTGAATTAATCCCTTGATAGGCATTAACTGAGTGGTAACTTAAATGGTAGGGTATGGCTGGAGGAAGTGGGAATTAGGGTGTGGCTTCTGGCAAGTAGAGACCTCTCTCTCTCTGGATCATTATGTGAGATGCTTCCCTATGCCACACACTTCTGCCATAATGTTCAGCCTCATCTTAAGCCCTAAGGAATGGGGCCAGTCTTCTTTGGACTGAGTCCTCTCACAATCCCTCAAATAAACTTTTCCTCCTCTATGGTTGTTCTGATTGGGTCCTATTAGAGCAGCGAAAAATCTGACTAAAGTATTCATAGAGTCCAAATTTTCACAAGAATATACTTGAAGAGATTTATTGTGCAGCCAAGGCCTTACTGTGATGGTGATGTTGAAGTCTGATACAATTATGCAAGATAGGACCAGTTGCTTTTATGGAACCAATGCTGACTTTGGTTAAGGTTCCAAGTCCATCCAGGAAAACTGGCCTGGTACTTGGTTGATGGGCAGCAGATTCCTAGGTCAGGAAGGTTATTTCCTGATAGGCCAGGAGTATTAACAAATTTTGGCAACACTGAGAAGAGAGCAATATATTCAAAGGTACAGTAGTATAGGTAAAATCCAACATAAGATTTCTTGGACTTGTCTTCCTAACTTGCAGTTAGCAAATAAAAGAGACTTTTAAAAATCCAGGGTCTGAGGTTGTAGTTCAGTGGAGGAGTGCTTGCCTTGCATGTGTGAAGCACTGGGTTTGATCCTTAGCACCACATAAATATAAATTAAAAAAAAAAATAAAGGTATTGTGTCCATCTACAATTAAAAATTTTAAAAAAAGGCTGAGACTTCATATGAAAACTTTCAGACAAAAATGCATAAACCATTTTATGCTCTGAGGCTTTTGTCATAGAATAATAACTTGGCTTACTGTATATATTTTCCAGTTTGTTTCTCTGTAGCCTAAAAGCTGGTAAAATCCTCTAAAATTCAAATGTTAAAAAAGATTGTTATTGACCAAATAGAATACAAAAATATATTAGTTACTATCTGTTTTATCATTTAACATCCTTCAGATAATAATGTCCTTCAAATATTCATTGCTATTTTAAAAAATATTTTGCTTGTCACAATGCTCTTGGGCCTTAGTTTTCACATTTATGACAGAGGTATCATGTGGACAATTACCTCAAAGAAGACTACCAATAATGATTTAATATATTATTACATAACTGCTACATATTACCTATGTTTAATGTAACACACAGCAATAATAAAACTCAGAATGATTAAAATCTGAACAATAATTCCAGTTTGAAAAAATAGTTTAGCATAGTTGTTGTCAGAAATATTCAATAAAATACCACCTTTTAGAGTGTGGTTTTGCATCATGTGTAATAGTAGTTGTACAATAATTTAATTTTTCAATTTATGCATGACATTATATTAAATCAGTATGTTCTACAAGATTTATGTGATATATAATATTAGTTAACTTTCCAAACACAGAATGGTAACTTACACTTACCCATAAAATTGAGATAGCCTTCTCCTCCAAGTGCATGAGTAATGAGTCGAATCATTTTATGAAGCTGTATTCCACGATCAATAACTGGAGTAAAAGGAGCTAGAACACTCATGTTTGTATACATTTCAGCATCCATCAACCAAAATGCCAGTGTCTTATCACCAACCAGTGCCTACAGAAATAAAAGTTACTGAGATAAATGAAGAGCAGTGGTACTAAGCATCAGTGATTTACACTGGAACATGAGGCTACACAGGAGGGAAAACAATTGTAGGAAAGGTTTTTGGATTAGTATTAATTTCATGTATTTTTTCCAATAGTTACTTTCTATGCTGAACATGGGCTGGTAAAAATAACTTAGAGATCTATACATTTGTTTTAAGATTGATTCTTATTTTTAAAATATCTTGAAAAAACTCATGATAAGGTACATGAACATTTGTTACACTTGAACTGATGTTTAAGATTTTCTTAAACAGGGGCTGAGGCTGTAACTCAAAGGCAGAGCACTTGCTTAGCATGTGTGAGGCACTGGGTTCAATCTTTAGAACCACGTAAAAATAAAACAAAATAAAGGCATGCTGTCCATTTACAATTACAAAAATAAAAATTAAAAAAAGTTTTTCTTAAACACACATTTATAATAATGGCAAGAATATTACATAGATTTTTTTTAAAGATTTGATTCTGAAACAATGGATATGTTTCTAAAAAATCATCTATATATACACTTAAGATAACATTATATGTATATTGCACTGATTCGTTCTGCCATTTTTCTTAAATATAAATTTACTTTCTCATTGTATTTGCCATTTAACCAACATTTAGTTTGTTTTATCTGAAAGAGAATAATAGATAACTCAGAAAAGCTCTGGGTAGCAGAAGGGAGGCCTCCTAACAATCTGAACCTTTCATGGCTAAAAACAGCAAAGTATTCATCACCAACAAAACAATAACATATAGTGAAATGTACAACAGAAGATAATCTGCAATCTTAGTATTCTATTACAATTATTTTCAGTTTTAGAAAACAAATTCACTTACAAACCTATTAAATCACTAACCTATTTTAATAAAAATGACTCCTTTAAAATACTACTACAAGATCTATAGCACTAATCAGTGCTAGTTCTTACACAATTTCTTTCCTACTGATTTTGAATTATTTGTTTATATGCTTAAGTTTATTTTTGTACCCTGCCTTAAACTTGTGATCCTCCTGCCTCAGCCTCCCGAGTTGCTGGGACTACAAATGTGTGCCACAAGGCCTGGCATGAATCTTTCAAGTACAAAACAATTCTTAGGAAATGTGTTTCTTTAAAGACCCGATAGAAAGTTATAAAAACAAACTTATCAGTTTCTTCTTCTATCTGCTTATTCCAGTCATGTAATCTTTTAAACATACAAAATTAACATGCTGGGAATTTATACTGTATTATAACTTCTAGCAGTTTGCAATACAAAGAAATAACTTTTGTGTATATTTTCCTTGTTCACTATGTTACATATTTGGGGATAAGTTCTCATTCCTTATAATCCTCCACCCCTTAAACTAATATATTTTTTTTCCAGTTTGGGTACTGATATTTTTTACAAGCATTTATTTCATCTGTTTTATGTTCAAGGATATTGTGTATTTTGTTTTTGAAAAAAAATCACTGTCCCAATTCAAAAGGAGCAAAATTTAGGATAACCTACTTCTTAGGTTAGCAAATTTCTGTAAAAGGTCAAACAATAAATATTTTAAACACTATAAACCATTTTCTCTCAGTTACTCAAACCTGCTATGATGGCCAAACAAAAAAAAATGTACAAATGAATCAGCATGGATGTATTCAAATTAACTTTATTCACAGATTAACTTTATTTACAAAAACAGGCAGCAGATATATTTCATCCTTGGACCTTGTAGCTATCCCTAAGTCCCTACTCTATTTATACTTTTAACAATTACAGGAGAAACCTGTATATCAAATGGCCAATTTTGTCTAAAACAACATAGAAATTTATTGTTTTAGTTTCCATTTTCTTAATATACTTTCAGAAATTAAAAAATTTTGTTGCCTCATTTTTATCTATAATTTTTTATATTTAAATAATAAGATAAATATTGAGTGAGAGAGAGAGAAATAAATTTATACACAAATTCATTTACCTGATCATGGCTCTCTGCATAAGCAATGCACTTTTCAAGGTAGCGTCTATTTGTGAGAGTGTATACTATATTGCCCATATTCCAATCTTCATCTTTAAATTCTTTAATGAGCTATACATAAAAAAGAAAAATAAACTTCTGAGTAAACCATTATTTATCTTATTTTAAATCTCAATCTGAGGGCCTATATTATGTAGTTCACGTTATTTGACTTTTAGATAAAACCTAATCCACATAGAAACAATATCATTGTTTAAAGTTTTACTGAAATCAATTTTGTACAAAATATTTAACAGAAAATGATAAAGGATATATGCTGGAGTGTGTGGTTTGCTTTTGTTTGGATAGGTTTATAATACTTTAGGATCTTTGCCACTCTTCTTTCCTGCAATAAGTGCTACCATGTGACCAGTGCCCAAAGTACAGTGTTGTAGCACAAAATGTCTTCCTGTAACTTTCACAGACAAGAAATACACTTGTACATTTTTAGATTTGAATGAGAAACTTTTAGCAGGAAGAATGTATCGTTCCATTCTTAAACAATGATAACTGAAACAACAATTATTTCAAAGTTTAAAGGTTAATCCTCATAAAATAATTATCATCTTAATAGATCACACTGATTTTGTTTCCACTTCATTTTCTTCTACCCCATAACATTGTTTTGATGCTATTGACCTTGCCAAGATCTCATAGTTGCCTCCTGGGTCAGTAATCGCTCCTTCGTAGGTAATACTTGCTGTACAGGACACTATGGATTCTCTGCCTTTCCCAAGAATTCTATTTCTTGGTTACCACTGTGAATCTTGTTTTATTTTTTCCACCACTCTGGACATCTTGAAAATTCTTTTTCTCTACATATGTTCCTCAAGGTTATATCCTAAATATAATCTCTCTCTTTTATTCAACATACTCTTTCTCAAGATCCACTTCTCTCTTCAGTGCCAAATAGATTCTGTTTTAGGCAGAATTCTAAGATGGCCCACATGCTTCCTATTCCCTCCTATTTAATCCCCTTACATCACGTGTTAGTGTGATCTTTGACTATGATAGATAAACTCCAAAAAAAAAAAAAAGTGATAAATAATTCAATAAGGTTTTAAGCTGTTAAATGTGTGGAATCTGTTACACTGAAAATTGAAAACAAGTATCAATTTCAGTATAAAATGCACTATTAATACTTGCAACAATATGGATGAATCTCTAGTAAGAAGAATTTATTTCTAGACAAATTCTCACAAATTTTGCTTGTGTCTTCCTTTGCTGACTTAATACTCTGTAGAGTACACACTTGTTTATCTAGTCATTGCAGTCATTAAGCACCAGAAAGACCATGGCAGACAGAATAAGTGTTACCACAGATGTCCACAAACCAAATCCCACAATCTCTGAATATATTACTTTACAGACATTTACAGATGAATTGAAGTTAAGAACATTGAGATAGGAACATTATCCTGGATTACCTGGATGGGCCCATGTAATGAAAATGATCCTTCTAAACAGAAAATTTGAGTCAGAGTAAGAAAGAAATTTGAAGATGCTCTCCTGCTGGCTTTGAAGACGGAAGAAAGAGCCACAAGTCAAGGAATAGAAGTGGAATTTAGGAGGTAGAAAATTTAAGAAAATGAGTTCTCTCCTGGAGCCTCCCAAAGAAACTACACTGCCAACACCTTGATTTTAAATTAGCAAGGCATATTTTAGATTTGTGACAAACAGAACTGTATAAAGTTCTGTTGTTTTAAGCCACTAAATTTGTGATAATTGCATATAACAATAGGAAACTAATGTGTAGACCAACACAAATATGTCCCACTAATTTATCTATTTTTGCAGTCCTGGGCATCAAACCCAAGGCTTCATACATGCTAAGTAAATACTCTAGCATTTGCCAGCCCCTCAACTAATTTTTCGCAAAGGCAATTAATTTAGTGGAAGGACAGATTTTTCAACGAATGATGTTGGGAGAAATGGACATCTACATGCAAGGAAAATAAATTAAATCCTAGGCTAAATCAAGCTAAGATTTTTAATCCTGCACAAAGATAATCCCAAAATAGATTATATTTTTTAAATAACTCAGTATAGATCATAGACTTAACTATAAAAAGTAATACTGTCACAAATATTTAGTAAAAAGCACTGGAAAACCAGAGGTCTAAAACTCAATAAAAAAACATAAACAAAAACTTGACCTTTAAAGCTCTATAATAAATCCAATTGGAAAATGGTCAAAAGACATAAATATGCATCTTACCAAAGAGGGCATACAGAAGGCAAACAGGAACGTGTAACATATTTACCATCTTAATTCATTAAGAAATACAGATTAAAACCATAGTGACAAATATTTACACATCTACTAGAATGAATAAAATGAAAAGTAGAGCTGGGTATGGTGACGCAAGCCTATAATCCCAGCAGCTTGGGAAGTTGAGACAGGAGAACCATGAGTTCAAAGCTAGCCTTAGCAACTGCGAGGTGCTAAGCAACTCAGTGAGAACCTTTCTGTAAAGAAAATACAAAATAGGGTTGGGGATGTGGCTCAGTGGTCGAGTACTTTAGTTCAATCCTCGGTACTCTCCCACCACCATACACACCCCACCAAAAAAAAAAAAAAAAAAAATGAAAAGACAAAACAATAATGGCAAAAATAAAATAAAGATTTCTCAAAAGTTGCTAGTGGGAATACAAAATAGTATAGTCACTCTGGAAACAGTTTCTTTAAAAATTAAATGTACAACTGTCATGACTCAGTAATTGCACTGTTATCATTTATCACATAGTAATGAAAAATTGGTCACATAAAAAAATTGTACATAAACATTCATAGGGGCTTTATTCATAATAGTTACAATGTGGAAACAGTCCAGATGTTTTTTGATGAATAGTTAAACAAACTGGAATATTCATAGTATGGAATATTATTTGGAGATAAAAAGGAATTCACTACTAATACATGCCAACAATGTGGATGAATCTCCAGATAATTTTGCTAAGTGAATGTGTCAATCCAGAAAGGTTACACACTGAATTGAAAAACAATTAAAGAAATGTAGATCATGTAAGTAATTGCCAGAGGTTTAGCAATGACTGTGGGTAAAAGAAAAGGAGATGTGGTATAAGAGGCAACAGGAAGTAACTTGTGTTGAGGGAAGTATTATATTATAACTGCAAGTGAATATACAATTATTTCAATTTTAAAACCTTAGCTACATTATTTATTAAACAAATCATTAAACCAGAATTATATTCCAAATCACTGGTTATAAAAATAATACAAATAGAACATAACTTGTGTTCCAATAACAAAAACAAATGAGATCTAGCATTCTAATCTTATATCCTATGGGTCAATAACTGTACATGCCACATATATTCTGAAAACAGATGTTATTCGATTTAATACTCTTGCATGTTTTATTATCATTTGGTGGAATAACCATCATTCATTTTTTTCTAAAATGCACAAGATACAAAATAAGAGGAAAATTACTCTGCTAAGGATGTTTAAAAATATATCATTTTATCTCTCTAGGTTTATATTAACTAAAGTCCCCACTTTGGCAATGAAAAAGATTTTTAAATAATTTCATAAAATAGAAGTTGACATCAGTCTTCAGAATATTTATAATCCAGGAAGGAAGAAATGATCATATATATCATATATAGAAAGACACCTTTTTTCCCCATTTGTATGATACTCTGCCTACTACCAATAGTACCTTGAAGACACACACTATTGAAACGTTTATTAGGTAAATTTAAAGATTTGTGGAAAAAAACGCCATAAATATTCCAAGAAGAATATATCCTACTGTGAGCTATGATTATGTTGGAAATAATTCTAGGTTCATGTACACATTGGAATATTCTTTAATCTGCACATAGATTGGTAAAAGCTTTTCAGCAAGAAATTAACAAGTAAGATTTGGCAATTATAAGGGAAAGAAGTCTGTAGGGAAGTCTAAAACTAGTAAAATATGAGAACTGATAACCATATTTATATCAAGGTGAGAACTTTAAAAATGACATCATTTTAAAAAATAACAAATATAAGGAAGTCTTTTAATGTATTAAAGCCAGAACAGTCATCGGCCTGCTTGATTTCTAACAAATCTTTGTAAAATCCTTGCTTTTGAATCTGTTGTATAAAGAATCATTACAAATGGAGAAGCAGAAGTCATATTGGTAGTGATTTAAGATCACAGATGTACACTGCATAAATCCCCTGGGGGCATAGAAAGACAGTAAAATAATACAAAAGTCACATCTTTCAGAGTAGGTTCTATGGTTTTCAGATATAAAGTTAAGGATTTCTCCTACTCTTATCATATAGAACCAGTTCATTTCCCTACTAGAGGAAAGCTATGATTATTTATATAGATATATATGACTGACACTAGACAAATTAAGCCCATGCTCATATACATGGCCACTCAAAAATATTCTGAATCAAACCTAAGTTTACATAATAACTTTGGTCCTTTAGGTAAATAATAAATTTTAAAATAAATAAATAAATATATATATATGTGTGTGTGTGTGTGTGTGTGTGTGTGTGTGTAACCCCCAAACAACTGGAACTGTCATTAAATTTAATAAAATTGCATTGAGAAATACTGTATAAAGTAAAATGCATGAATTATTCATTGTGTCTGACAACTGTAAGAACTTTCAAATGCTGAATGAAGGAATATGTATGTATACAAATTTGCTGAGGAAACACCAAACTATGAAGCAAGTAACAGGGGGAAGTAAGGAGTAACTTCTATATTAATGGTTGATATCAAGACAGAAATGAATCCTTTGATGAAGTTCAATGCATTTTAAGTATTGAGCAAAGAAGTTTCACACAATCACATTGATAATGCAAGTCTCCATTTATACAGCCAACACTATATTACTCATATTTTCCCTTGACTGAATAACATAAATGTGAATAGTTAACAGTATTAATTTTAAAGTTTGAGAACCACCTTATTAAAAAGCACATGAATAGATACCCTAATGGGAGGATTTAATATTCTAATGTACCTAATGATCATTAGTAAGAAATAGATTCAGGAAAAAAAAAAATCAACCTAGCATCCACAGGAAAAAATGTTTACATGAAATCTTACCTGGATCCATTTATCTGGAATTGCCATCGCTAATCGATAGTCAAAACCACCACCTCCCTGGGAAATTGGAGAACACAGAGCCGGCATTCCTGATACATCCTAAAATGAAATATGTTAGTATTATCAGTTCATTTACTCACACTTGTAATAAATATTTTCCTGACAGTAAAATTTAGGCCAATAAATTAAAACAATAAATAATGGCATATATTTTGGTAGTGTTTTAGTAACCCCATTGTAAACATAGATAAAATTGTGATATGATGTCTCATTGACGAATAAGATTTTTGTTCAGTGTTGTCATTCCAGCCAACTTCAGTCCCATGAGGGTATTTTCTTATTTTCCCTAGCACCATCTTGAGAACACAAAATAATGAAACTATTTTGCTAAAACATGGTTTCTTAGAAACATTTTCAATTACTTAGTGCTTTTATCAAACACAAAAATACACATGGCATATATCTGTTATACTCTTTCTCTTCATATATAGCCTGACATGGAGTGTGTCTGTGTTAGCTTCTGAGGAAGTAAATAGCGAGCTAGACAATAAAGCATGAAGCATGAAGCTTTCATTATACTGGGCTACACTTGGAAGGGGTTTTCAAGACAAGCTAGTGGGACTTCTTCATTGAACAGGGACAGAAACAAAAATTTAATAAGGTGAAGGGATCTCAATAGCAAGAGATTTATCGATGGTGAAAAAGAACTCAAATATCAACCCTTTCACAGTCTTTCTACTGTCATGGGAAAAATGAAACTATAAATAATCAGTTAATTTAAAAAAGAGTTTTGAAAGTAAGTGGAAGGACCCAGGTGTAACAAAAGATATTATTATAACAAACATAGCAAAATATGAGCTAAGTACTATGATTTCTACTATTTTCAAATAAATCCTTTTGCTCTGCTTCATTTCTACAGCCACAATCCTATATAATCTTCATTACTGCTTACCTAGACCATTAAGTTCACAAACAGAATTCCCTATCTCTTTTCTCTTTCTACAAATTTATATCTTATGGGAGAGTCCACTCTATTGTTACCCTTTAATAAATTTTTAAAACAATAGAAAACTCAAATTCCTTAGCTGCAGACTCAATTAGCAATCAATCATTGAACATTTTCTATATAATTTACTATTTAATTATCTGATGCTGTACTCTATTTAGGAATATATAATCCAGAAGGGCAAGGAATTGTTGTTGTTGCTGTTTTGATCTACTTGTATATGCCAAAACCCCAGAATAATAAAATAGTATTTGGTCCAAATACATCTTCAACAAATATTTGTTGAATGAATAAGTAAAGGTATATGGAGGAACTTGAAGATAAATAAGAAATCATATGTGATATTTGAGGATTCATAATCTATGACCTAAATACACATATACACACACACATTTTCATGAGGTGACAGTGCAATATAGTTGTGATAACTGACTAAAGTTCACAGAAATGGAGAGATTCAATATCTACCCATTATGATTTCCTACTATTTAATTTCAAGTACTAAATATTTTGACTACTTTGAAATATTTACTTTTCCCTGCACTTTTCACAAGCTTTTTTATAAATGTCATTGTCCAAACTATTCTTTGCATCTTTATTCTTATTTCTTATAAAAGTTTATCATATGCTATGAACTCTGAGATAGCTTAAATCTTGCTGCTTCTACAATATTATCCCTAAACACTTCCCACAGAAACGCTAGGGATAAAATAATTACATGACCTCTAGGCTCTCACAAGGTAACTTATTATTTTCTTATGGAAGAGAAAGTAAATATACTAGATGGTGAGAAACAGCCATAAGAAAATAATTTATTTGTCAAGAGTATTTTATTTGAGCATAGTTCTTTGTAATTTATTAAATAAAAAAGTGGTCAATAGAAGATATTTTAAAAATTATATCTATCAAAATATAGGTTAGAGTTTCAGATATTATAGATATTCAGTTCACATCATAAGCATTATCTAAATATATGTATCAGACAGCTGGCACCATATTGGTATTGGAATCCTAAAGGGTTTTAACCAGAGCATGCTGACTGTCAGAAACAATGGGTAATAGCCCTGTATAATTTAAAAAAAATTAAAGAACCTGGGAACAAAAGAAAACACCTGTTATCCTAGTAAATCTGGAGGCTGAGGAAGAAGGATTGCAAATTAGAGGCCAATCTCAAAAAAATAAAAAAAATAAAAAGGGTAGTGGATGTAGATTACCAAGGGCTGTGAATGTAGAGTACCCCTGGGTCCAATCCCCAATATTTAAAAAAAAAAAATTAAAGAAAACAGAAGGTAAATATAAAAGTCACCAAAATAAGTACATTCCAAATACAAAAAGCTGATGTCTATTGATATGACATATGAAAATGGCTATGTTTTTAATTAAATTAAAATATTTCTATTTTTTTAATATTTAAAAAGCACTTATGACAATTCCAGAGGGGGAAATTCAATCAAAAAATTTTCAATTAATAAAATAACTGTGTAGAAACACAGATATATTCTAGAAAGAAAGGGGTTTCAATTTTTATAATTGTCATATAAAAATTCATATTTCTAATATAGGACTTTATATAAAATTACATTACTTATTCGATACGCTGCTTTCTGTTCTTAACAAAAAAAGTTCATGAGGATCAATTCTACATTTTGAAGAGACTCCCACTAGACAGAAAAGTGATGTATTGAAATTGAAGTAGTTTTCAATTTAAGTAGAATAAATTGAAGACACATCTTGTTTTAAAAAAATCTGAAAGCAAGTAATATAAAGTAGGCTAAAGTCTCAAAGTTTCATTGGTAGAAACACTGATAATCAGACAAAAGCTCCCTAGATGATGAAACTATTTTACTTGAAATAAATGGGAAGATCAATGTAACAATTTTAACTTTCATGTATTAAATAATTGCTTCTTTTTCTTTAGCCCACTTTTGATTTGCTCTGTCGTTAATTGTTTGTAGTAATTTGCCATATATAATATCTCTGCTTTGAATTGCAACAATATAATTGACAATATAATTAATTTTTTGATGTTTGATGGATAAAATTAACATACTATATAAAAGAAAAAACAAAAGTTAAAAATACACTCTGATCGATATTAAAAAACATTCAGCACATTAAGTATTTTATAGTACAAGTATTAGCCAGACTTAAATGCTATGGTCAAATGTACAGAGTATGGAAGGTAGGTACAGAGTGTGAATTAATACTGGGTGTCTAAATTATAGTTTTAGGTTTGTTTTTAATACTATATGAGAACTTATTTCAGGAGTTTCACTCTATTCCCCAAAGATATTGGGAAGGCAAAAGGCCTGAAGGAAGTAAAGCTTTTCTGTATATAGAGATAAATGATAAAATCATGCCACTACTGTACATGGTGCAGAGTCACACCAGTAGTGTGTTTTGCTTCATTTGTGTACGATGTGTCGAAATGTATTCTACTGTCATGTATAACTAATTAGAACAAATTTAAAAAAGAAAAAAAAAATCATACCACTACTGGTCTTTTTAGGTTTTCAGAAAATATGAGTACAAAAAGACTAAACAAATAATACCATAAAAAAGGAGACTAACTACTAAATGCCAACATTATAAAAATATACCTTCATTCTGACTCTTTTAAACACAGCCTTATTATTAGCAACTAAGAACAGAGTAGGGAGGAAGAGCAGGAGGAAAAGATTAACATTAAACAGAGACATGAGGTGGGAGGGAAAGGGAGAGAAAAGGGAAATTGCATGGAAATGGAAGGAGACCCTCAGGGTTATACAAAATTACATACAAGAGGAAGTGAGGGGAAAGGGAAAAAAAAAACAAGGAGAGAAATGAATTATAGTAGATGGGGTAGAGAGAGAAGATGGGAGGGGAGGGGAGGGGGATAGTAGAGGATAGGAAAGGTAGCAGAATACAACAGTCACTAATACGGCATCATGTAAAAATGTGGATGTGTAACCGATGTGATTCTGCAATCTGTATTTGGGGTAAAAATGGGAGTTTATAACCCACTTGAATCTAATGTATGAAATATGATATGTCAAGAGCTTTGTAATGTCTGGAACAACCAATAAAAAAAAAATAAACCCAGCCTTATTATTTTTATGTGTCCAACACTACACTTGTATAGAACAGTTTTAACATGCTAAATTCAATTTTAATAATAATTCCAACTTAGAGGACTCAGAAAACCAGGGGGATTTTAGTACTAAATCTAAATTAGCATAAGCATTTAACAAACTTCTTAATTTATCACATTTATCACCAAGAGGGGAATTGTCAATTATGCATCTACCAAATTATATCATTACAGTGCAGCTTTGGGACAGTTAATCATGAACTTTCAGTAATCATGAATAACTAGTGAACATTTGGCAATCTGAGAGCAATAACGTAAACAAGAAAGGTAATTGCATCAGAATAAGGAAGGGTTCAGAGAAGCTTGTAGGCAGCCATCCATGCCATCTCTAATAATTAAACCAAAAACATAAAGAAAGAAATAGACACACATTAATATTTAATTTTTTCTCTGTAGAAGGTCTCAGGGTGAAAGGTCCTGTCCACTCATTAGGATATTTTACTTTCTAACAACTGGCATTTTCTTTTTAACAATGGAATGGTGACAAGTATTTAGTGTATATTGTTCCCTAACAGGAAAATAGCGAATTTTGCATAATGTACTATCCATACAAGACAGCTGCACTATAGTTAGGGTATAATTTCATTTATGTTATTTTTAGCAACATGAAATTAATCACTCAAATACTATAAGCTAACAAAATGCTCTATATTAAAGGGGGTCAGAAGATAAGCGATCATATAGCTTTACCTCAGCTATTGTTATGGAATCTGGATACAATGTATGAATCAAATGATTTGCCAACATGAGATAAGTCAAGGCATCTTCATCAACCTGTAGTCCAAAATATTCATTGTAATCACCTGAAAAACTTTGACCTGAAGAATGGAAAATCAATAGGAATATATTATATTGACATAATAAAATAAAGTACCTAAAATTGATATGAATTTTGGTACTATAGCAAAGTATAATGATAATTTTGCAATCAGCAAATGTACTAATGCAGAAAAGTACCTGGGTCAACATTTAGAGTCCAGAAAACCTTGCAAATCAATTTTTGTTTGACAAAAAAAGGTGGAAGAAGTCTGGGGTTGTAGCTCAAGAAGTAAATTATTTGCAAGAATGCTGGAGACCCTGAGTTTGATACCCACCACCAAATAACAACAAATTTTAAGATTTCATATAATCATAACTGAATTATGATTTAAAATGCAGTGAAATGATACTGAAAGGAACTCTAAATTTCAAATTTTAGATACATTTTCTGTCACATCAAGAAAATATTAATGTTAGATTCCAATATTACAATAGATTCCTTTCAGGTAAAGAAGAAGAAAGTCATTACAAAATTAAGATATAATGCTTAATACTATGTTAAATATGTGCTTCTATTTACATAATACAGAATTTCCTATGATGACAAATAGATTATAATTAAACACCTTACTATCTCCTTTCCTTCATCTCCTAATTTTGGTAGATTGTAGTGTATTTTAGTTACTGGAGTTGTATCATTTACTTTTGATTATTTCAATAGTTTGCTCTTATTTTTATAATTCAAATCAGTGCTTAGTACCAGTCCCCCTACCCTTACTTCCCTATATCTAAGTTCCTTTATTTTGATTCTTTTTTTTTTTTCATTGTTAGATTTGATCGCTGAGAGATATTTTGACATATAATTATGGATGTTTTATTCCTTAAAGTTCATGTTCAGACCTTAACAGTAATTCAGCTACCATATTTCTTTTTTTTGATACTATCATTCTTTTTATTTTAAAATATTCGGTTGACAAAAATAAATAGACAAATTCAAGATAATGATTTGACATAGGTATGCTTATTACCACAAATTAATTATATTCATCTCTACCAACAGTTAACATGTGTGTGTTTGACAATATAGTAGTACTAACTATAGTCACCATGTTTTACATTAGACCCCTAAAATTTGTCTTATACTGATAAGTTTATATCCTTTGACCAAAATTCCCCCATTCCCTCTAGCTCCCAACTCCTGGCAATGACAATTCTACTCTTATTTTTTTGATTTAATTTGTTTTCCTAAGAATTTTGTAGACATGGCTTCTGGTAATAGATATGAATCCAGTCATTTATTCATCCTTTTTATTTTTTCTTCCTAGAATTACTTTTTCTTCCTAGAATTACTTTTTCTTCCTAGAAATCTCCATCTCCTTTCTGAGAAATTTCTCTGTATCACTGAATTTATAAATTAAATACTGTATTAATGTTAATTATCACATATTTTATGGTATCTTATATGTTCTTTTGCTGTGCAGTTTCAAGGTTTGTTTTCTATCTTTTCTCATTCCAAGGGGGAAAATATGCTAAGTAATCAGAATGTTTTCCTTTACATTTCTTGAGCTCTTTACTGATAAAAAGCATATCCCTTGTCCATGAAAATAAACTTTGGTTCATTTTCCCAAAGCCACAATTCCCTGGATATGTCCTGCCCTCACCAGAGGGAGTTATATGCTAGGATTTGATCTTTTTAAATTCTTGCCATGCTTTCCTTTGTGTTCTCAAAATAACCTTCTCCCCAAACTGGAGGATAGATACAAATGGAATATAGTGTGTTTTGTAGGTTCAACTTCTTCCAGGCAAACATTTCATGGAGGCAGCACCATGATTGAGAGTAAAGAAGGTATTCTTTAAACTTTATGTTTCTTTTCTTAGTAGCCAGTTTTCAAAGATTTCCAGTCTAAACTTTCTCTACCTTTGTTTTATTGTTGCTGGTGAGCATTTGGCAATTTTATAAAGGTGCCCATGTTATCTAAATTATATTATCTATTCAGAGATTAAGATACTGAGATCTCACTTTGCACAATTTTTAAAATGAAGGTCTGATCAACATTTATAATTCATAAATTTACAATTTAATTTGAACTGAGTAAATCTATATTTAATACACCTATTTTCTTCAATGTATAATATCCAAAAAATCTTAAGCCTTCACAAATGTTCTTGTTTATCATTTTTGTGTTATTTTTCATTGTAAATTTGTCATGTCCATATCCTGAGGCTTTTGTAATAAATGGTTTCCTTTAACTGTTTTTTAAAGCTACATGATAAGAATTAACATGTTAAGAAGATGTATTATAAAGGAAACCATTATCTTTTATTTACTTACAAATGCTTGTATACCCTATTTCTTGCCAAAATGTGTCAGAAGTGATTAAAAAGAATATACACACAATGGAACAACTAAAAGTCAATGGGTATTGCAGTTTCTGTAACTGAACCCCAGACCTGGTTATTATCTTCCAGGAGGAAAATAAACAATAAGTAAAATCATTAACTACATGGGTCATATATCATACTACCTACCCATTCCATGGTGATGATACAGCATGGATGTAACACCATCAAAACGAAATCCATCAAAGCAATATTCTTCCAACCACCATCTTATGTTGGACAGAAGGAATCTTAAAACTTCCCAGCTAAAATATTGAAGAAATATGTATTTATTAAACAGTGTTTTCCTCATTATATATTCTTTGTTAAGAGTAGTAAATAAAATTATAAATATGTTTCAAGAATCATGATGTTCAGGAACACAGCATACAAAACCCAGAAAACTAACAAATAATATCTCATTTGTTTAATGAAATTCATTTCAAAGGAAATCTATCAAATTTATTTTAGCTAAAAATAAGTCACTTAATATATAAGAAAAATTGAGGAAAATGAGAAAAAAATTGTAAGTGGATTCTAAGATTAGAGACTCTGTCTTGTTCAATGCTGTGTTGCCAGCAACCAGAATGGTCATTTTACATAACAGTGATCAAAAATATGTGCATTAATTATGTTTAAAATTTTATGTGTATTTTTCAGAAGTGATTTTTTTCTTTTTTCAAAAAATACACATTTATATTATCAGTGTTTTTGATTATTGCTTGAAATATTTTACATTACCAACAGATATAATTCAGAATAAATAAAAGAAAGACTTAGTTTCTCCCACATGGTAAGCAATATTATATTCACAAGACTGTTGTTTTCTAGAGCCCAAAAAGAGAAAGAAAACTTAATTATCAAAAAACACATGCTTAATAAAGTAGAAAGTTCTGCAAGTTAAAAAGCTCCACATCCATAAAAACAGAAGGAAAACAAAGAAATGTATAACTCAATTAAAAACACCCCATGAAACAAGTCTATTTCGGACAATTGGAAAGAGGGCATCATCAATTAGTATTTTCTTTAGTTGTACAGTTATGGTTGAGTTCTCTATCTTATTATAACTGTGGTTTTAAGACTTTAATACCTCATTTAGTTTAATGACAATGCTGTAATAGTGTACACAAATCTTTAACCCAGTTGAAATTTATGTATTTTTTAAGCCTTCCATATATTAAAGAACAATCTGACATAAGTGGAGATTAAGTCATCACAATCAACTTCGGAATTATAAATCTAAACTTTGAGGAAAGATGAGTGTTTTTGCTAATTAGATGCTTTAAAAAAGCTACACTAAGATTTAAAAACTTACTGAAAGTTTTCTAAAAAGAGAGAAGGAAAAAAAAAAACAGAAATGCAAGCAGTCCTACAGATAAGAAAAAGGGCCTGGAGGTTCAACATTTTTAGATTAAGCAAAGATTAGGGTAGAATTTGCTTATGTTTCTACTAATACACATTTCCCAGGGTTTACAGGGGAAATTTCTGTTAAACAAAAACAAATGAATACAAAGAGGTAGGTTACAATTATACAGGATCAAAATTACTCTATTTTTGTGTAGGGATATCCAATTAGTATACTTCTAAATTTTTTTATTATTAAACTTTATTTCTTATAGACATTTCAGATTCACAGCAAAATTGAAAGGGAGGCACACAGCTTCCTGTGTGTCCCCTGTCCCCATACATATGTCTATATTGCACCAAGGCTGCAATATAACAATTTCAGGGGAAAAAATCATAAAAAAGAGACATAAATTTTCATGTCAATAACCCTTGAAAAACAGTGTTTTGAAAAGAACGTACACAGTTTTCTAATTTGGCCATGGACTAATAGGGTATATTTTACTTTCAAAAAGTAAACTGAAAGATATTTTTTAGCCAAAAATACCCTAGGGTAGGAACAAATTTGCTTAAATGCTAACTAAGTTATCTTGGATTGATAAATGAAGATCTAAATATATAAATCAGAGATCACAAGTTGTCCCTGAGCCTTATCTTGTAAGGAAAATTAAAAGAGACACAGACAAGATGCAGGGGCAGGAAAGATGGCAGAATGGCCAAGCTGCCAGCTTTATTTATATCAATAGGTCATTAGCATCAATAGTACATTATTATTTCTTGTATCAGTAAGGCTGCTTATTCTTCAGCTACATTCTACAGTTACAATATGCAATATTAGGAGCTTTGTGTAGCTCTCAAAGGAAGTCCATTGTCTGAAGTTACTTTTAGGTAGGCAGGTCGAGTAGCACAGGGGCTTGGTGAAACATTGTAGTTATCTGGCAAGCAAGTTACTTTATTCTCAGGAGCTATGTGCCTGAGATCAAGGTTGAGGCTGATAAGACTCTAGCACAGAGCCTCCTCATGCAGGGCATTGGCACAGCAGCTAGACATTGCACATGTATTAGTTATTTTACTAGTTCCTAGGAGAAACTGCAGAGCATCCTAAGCTTCGGAAACAGGGTGCCTGTTACCCTGCCCCCAGGAGTTTGCTCATCAGAGGAATGCTTCCCTGTATATTTCCATGGTCAGAATCCCTACATTATCTGATATGCATGATTATTTTGCTGGACTTTGCAGAGTATATTAAATTTCTCAGTTTGAATTCCTATATAGAATAGGTATCTTCTAGCTCTTCACAGTCCCTGTCAGTCCACATTTTCTTATTCTAACTGTATTTACTCATTTACATCACCAGCTTGCATGTGTGGACATTAGCTGTCAATTCCTTAACACAAATATCACAGACTGAATGGTTTCTAGGTAGACAGAGATTCACATCTAAAAACTCTGTTCTAATATCTACAAAGATAAAACAAAAGGGAAACGAGAGAATTAAGTTATAATTCAACAACAAAGAGAAGGAAATGGTGTGAATTTAGTTACTGAAAAGAAAGTATTGCCCAATGTTACATATTTGATTAAAGGAGGAATAAAACTCCTAATGATTCTTATTAGTGAAATATTATTCTTTCTTCAACAAAAAGAATAACAAAACTGCTTTTAACGTTAAAAAAAATACATTTGGGGTGTAACTATGTGAGTAGACATTCTTGGCTGGATGAATGAAAAAAAAATTCCTGTGAAAACTAGAAAAAAGAGACAATACTGACCCCATGGTAGGTAATTAAAAATTTCTAATGGATTAAATATTATTCTTTAGATCTCCAAAATACTTCTAACCTGAAATAACGTTGAAAAATCATAAATCTAAAACAAATCATCATAAGATTAAACTGATAGAAAGAAATACATCAAACTTCTGTGGCTATCAAAATATTTAATATATTTTTATAAATCATTAACAAAAAAATAGATGTGGCCTTCATAAAAAGGGAAGAAAGGAATAAATATATACCACATTTTCGAGGACAGCAAACTATGCAGAACATAATAAGAAACAGAATCTAAAAAGTTGTTTTTGTTTTTGTTTTTAAACAAAATTTCAGAAAATAGGTTCAGGGAAAAAAAATCACCTCCAACATTTTAAAGTTAGTAGAAGCAGTGGAAGGCAAAAGTTAATGTTAATTCTTTCATTAAACTAGATTATTAGGATTAGTTAAATAAAAAATAATTAGACTTATCAGGGTAACACTTTGTAAATAAATAACCTTTGTTTTATAAGGAAAAAAAAACTATCAGAGCAAGAAACCAGGGAAATAATAAATAATAAACTATATTCCAGTATTTCTTTGGTCCAAATTTTGTGTCTGTTATCATCATCATGATAAATCTAGACAAACTATTTCACTTTAAACTCCATGGCCTGGTGAAACTAATTATAAAACAAGGACTGATTGTACTCAGGTCAGTATATTCGCTCATTAGAAATCTACCAAGACAGAGAATCAGGAAGACTGAGGTATGAGTTTATGAAAGAATCATACCATACATATGGGTATTTGCATGAGCAAAATCCAGAATTCAGAGGTGAAAAAAAGAGTTACTATTGGATAAAGATGTAACTTTCTTTTTTCTACTTCTTATAATATGTAAACATTCAACATAATGTAGAAAATGTTTCTAATTATTATATAAATGTATTCTCTCAAATCACTGAATTCTGAATTCAAATTTTGAGAAAGCTGGGCCAGAAATCCTAAAAAACACCTCCAGCTTTACTGATTCCCTAGAGAAATTCACTAGATTCAGCATATGATTGTGTTCATGGCTAAGACTTATAATAACACAAGAATATAAAATAAAAAATCGGCAAGTAAAAAAGTACATGGGGCAAAGTTTGGAAGAATCAACATGCAAACTTTTAAGAGGCCCCCCCCCGGCCCTGTTCTGAGTCATACAGAACACACTTAATTTCCCCGACAACAAACTGTTCCAACACTTGTGAAATGTTGTCTACCAGAGAAGATCACTGAAGACTTGGTTTCCTGAGTTTTACTGGTAAATTTTTACCACACACATTCTGCCTTAGTATATACCAAAATCTAGACTCCCGAAAGGAAGCAAGGTGTTCATCATAATTACATTGTTTGTACAAATAACTCAGCACAGTGAACCACTGTTATTAGTTCAAGGAATGGGGGAGAACACTTCAAAATGTAAGTTTACAGCTGATAGCCACAGGCCAATCTTGAAGGCAGACATTTCTCAGGACAGCAATCTTAGTCATGCTACATTTATTCTTCCCTCCAAAAGAGCAGAGCCTACCTTTGTTTAGACATTTATAAAATACTTGTATGTTACTGGGTTATGGAAGGAAAAAAATAATTCTTTTCACTTCATTTTATCTAAGAGCTACCTAGATCTGAAAACCAAGCAGAGCAATCTTAAATATACATTAAAAATCTAAATGTGGAAGGACATCCAGGTGAGGTACTCTGTTCTTCACCCTAACCTCTTCCCGCATAGTCACATGAGCAATGCAAGCATGAATCACATACATGAATGAACTTGTTCACTGAATCTAAGATTTGCCTTTTATATGGAACACTAGAACAAGCTTAAGGAATATGTCACCAGTAAAAATACATACTTCTGAAAGATGTCCAATACTGTTTCTACTCTCATAATTTTCTAATTCAGTACTCATAAGTTTCCATTTTTCATTCTTTAGGGAATTGTGAGGAAGAGGAATTATGATGTATTTCAAAGTATGACTGAATTAGAAATATTGCTCAATGTGCTCTCTAGTAATAAATGAACAGAATCATCTCAACTGAATGGTTTGCCTTGAGTCGAAGTATGAAAATGTCTGGCAAAGGGTACAATAAAAAACGCAATTTACTTTTTCTACCTCAAAATGTCA